GGCTCCCCTCCCCGGCGCAGCCGGCCGCGCCCCTCGCTGCCCACTGCGAGCGCCGCTACCAGGTCCAGCGGCGTCCGCTCCAGCACGTCCACGAGCTTCTCCAGCCGCGTCCGCGCAGTGAAGACGAAGTCGTCGTCCACCCACAGCACGTACTTCGTGGTTACTTGGGACACGGCCAGGTTCCGGCCTGCGAACCAGCCCTGGGGGAAGGGCGCGGGCTGGGCCGGCTTCTCCTCGGCCCTCTCGCACCCTCTCGGCCCGCGCCTGGCTCTCCCCCACTTTTGAGCGCTCACGGGGAAGCAGCTAGGTCCCCGGGGAAACGCCCCCCCTCCTGGAGGTTCTGGGGCGCCTGTAATTCAGGCCCGTGTTCGCGCTCCGTGCACTCGCCAAGGTGCTCAAGCCTTTCCTCTCACGCAGAGCCCAAGTCCCTCCCCAGGGCGCTGCGCCCGCCCGCCCGCGCCCCTCCGCCCCTCCGCCCCTCCGCGGGGGCTGCAGGCTGCAGCCTGGGCGCCCTCCCAGCCCGCTGCCCGCCTCGCACCTTGCCGAATGGCATGAGATAGTGCTCCACGTGGGGGCCGCTCACGCGCTCCGGCGTGTCGCTGTCATCGGCGATGATCACCGTGACCGTGGGGTAGAAGCGCCGGATGCTGGCGATGAGAGCGCGGAGCCGACTGTACCGGAGGAAGGTCTTGGTGGCAACGGTGACCAGGGCGCTGATGTTGTACTGGGCTGGGGGCGAGGGACAGGGTCGGGTGGGTGCAGACCCGGAGGGTGCGGAGCCGGAAGCAGCTCGCCGGCCACCCGCTCTTTCCTCCCACCACACCAGCCTCACCTCCCACAGGCGGAGACCCCGGGGGGTACAGCCGAGGGTTGGGGGGGTGTCTGATGCGGATGGTGAACACAGCCAGATGTCCGTGGGTGGAGAAACGCACTGGGGAGAAAGGACAGGCAGTGCAGTGTGCCTCTCTAAGGACGCCAGGGGTCCTGAAGGACCTCCCGCCCCTGCACCAGTATTAAGCCACTTCCTGTACGGCCCCTCTGCTCGACTGGCAGAGGAGCACGAGGCCTCTGACCCGTGGGGCTTTCGGGAGAGAAGCAGTGAAAGATTTCATTACAAATTGACCTTGAGGGGCCCTCCGTGGCGGTGCAGCGGGTTACAGCACAGCACTGAGAAGCTAAAGCCACTTCCGCATGAGTTCGATCCCGCCTGCCCCGGAGGTGACCACAGGGCGCGGCAGACCTCTCCTGACCCGCCCGCTGCTCCCCTCAGCCGTGGACTTCCTCTATCTGCCTGTTCTGCTCCCCACTCTGTCTCTGGTGAAGCCTCTCGCTGTCCCTGAGCTTCTGGCCTGTACCCCAGTTCTGTATGCACAAATAAATACATCTCAAAAAAAAAAATTGACCTTGAGGGGCCCTCCCTGGTGGTGCAGCAGGTTACAGCACAGCACTGAGAAGCTAAAGCCACTTCCGCATGAGTTCGATCCCGCCTTCCCCGGAGGTGACCACAGGGCGCGGCAGACCTCTCCTGACCCGCCCGCTGCTCCCCTCAGCAGTGTACTTCCTCGATCTGCCTGTTCTGCTCCCCGCTCTGTCTCTGGTGAAGCCTCTCACCAGCCCTGAGCCTCTGGCCTGTACCCCAGTTCTGTAAGAACAAATAAATCTTAAAAAAAATTGACCTTGAGGACCCTCCCTGGGGGTGCAGTCGGTTAGAGCGCAGCACTAGGGAGCTGTCCGCAGCCCCTGCAGCACGAGTTCAATCCCAGGCCAGGGAGGGACCCCCAGGGCACAGCAGCCCCCTCCTGTCTCCCCGCTGCTCCCCTCAGCAGTGTGTTTCAGTTGATCTGCCGGTTCTGCTCCATGCTCTGTTTCTGGGGAGTCCTCTCACCCCCTGCACCCCAGTTCTTATATGCATAAATAAATAAATCTGTTTGTTAAAAAAACTAACCTGACTGGTACTATGTGCCAGGCACTTAAAATCACCTCCAATGTCCAGCCTCACAATAGCTCCATGAGGTGAGCTCCTGGGGGCAGGGGGCTGTGTAGCAGAGAAACCAAGTGACCTGCTAGTGTTTACACAACTATGAAGCTGAGCTGAAACCTCAGCGGCTTGATTCTAGGCTAAGAAGAAAATTCAGATACTGGATGATCATTGAATAGAAAATCAGACACGTCATGTGATAGTGGAGAAGAGACATTTGAGCTGACATCCAACTGACAAGAAGGAAGTGGCCATGGGGTTCTGGGGAAGAGTTTTCCGGGCAGCAGGAACACAGCACACAGGCCCCGGCGGGGTAGGTCGGGCTGGGGCTGTGCAGAGGCGGGGGGCTGCAGGTGTCTTTTCTAGGGACCAGGGCGAGTGAGGAGTGGTCAAGCCTTTGTCCTCTGGCAGGTGGTGGGCTGGGATCTGACTCCCGCCGATGTGGGCTCGTCACTTCTGGGGTGCCCGAGGTCAGCCTGGGGGGGGGCACACCAGGGCTCTGGTTTCCCTCTGGCCTGCTCTGGCCCCTGTGAACAAAGGTCCCTTTTCTCTCTCCCAGCCCCGCAGGCCCAGCTGAAATGCCCATTGTGTGTCTGTGTGACTCTGCCCTTTGCCCAGTGTCTCCCACACCCTCGGCCTCTCCTGCGTTCCCGGACTCTCTGTTTGCCAGCTTGGCCCCTGCCTACCCAGGCCCGCACCTGTGTCAGCTGTGTTCGCCTGGTAGCTCCGGCTGCTGTAAGTCACCAGCTGTAACTGCCGGTTGAGGTGGTCCAGCCTGGGGCTGGTGAGGGTGAGCTCTGGCTGCCCCTCTCCGGTGACAGTCACCTCGGTTACTTCCCCTGCCACGTCCCAGGTGCCCAAGGAGGCAGTCAGGTTCACCTGGGAACGGGGGTTGGCAAAGCGGGTTAGAGTCCAAACCGCTCTGGCCTTCCGGGTCCTCCAGCCCCCTTTAGGCAGCCTGGGCTCCAGTCAGCCGCCCTGGTGCCCACCTGGCCTCCCGGCCTCCTGTTTCCTCTCACCTGGTATATGTCCTGACCAGAAGCTGCTTGTAGGCTCAACCCTGAAAGGAGGATGGGGACCCAGAGTCTCAAGCAGCCCTCCACTGCGCTTTCACCTTCTTCCCTCTTTCACCACCCACAGCAGGGACATCTCACCCATCCCTCCTGCTGAGATCCCAGCAAGGCCAGTGCCAAGCCTAGACAGCCCTGCCAGCCTAGAGTGGCCAATTCTTTCAGTCTTCCCATCAAAGCAGTGGCTCTTCGTGGCCTGCCCGCCTAGCCCCCAGCCTCTGGCCGGTCAGCAAGGGGTCCACGCTGTTCCCGAAGCCGGGCCAGGTGGTCTCTGCACACTGTGACAGCCTTGAGTCCCTCCTGCCTCCCGCCGGGCCCCACCTCGTGAGCCCCCTTGGACTCAAGCCCCCGTTTCATCAGAAGACACCCCCACTCCCGTTCCAATCCCCCCTCTTTCTTCCCCACCCAGCCTCAGGTTCTGTCGCCCCCACAGCGGCACAGGCCGTCCCTGGGACCCCACCTGGTACCAAGATGGTCCTCAGGGGCTGGACCTCCACGCCCTGCAGGGGGTACTGGAGCGGGGAGTTGGCAGGAGCTATGAGCAGCTGGTCAGTGGCAGACTGGCTCCTAGCAGTGGAGAAGGGGGACAGAGGAGGAGCCGGAGGTCACGCCTGCCCTCCAGCTCCCCAGCTCCCCAGAAGGGTACTGCTCCTCTTTCCTTCGGCTGGTACCTTAAAAGGAAGGCCTGGAACTCCTGCTCCCGGGAGGCGGAGGCGGCCCTCAGCTCCTCTGGGTGAAAGGCTTTGGTGAGGTCCATGGCTTGGACATGCCGCTGGAAGGGGAGGTGGAGCCCCCCGCCACTGGACTCACAGCTACAGTTGTTCCAAGCTAGTAGCCTGGAATGTTGGGGAGGCGAGTCAGAGCCCAGCCCTTCGCTTCAGCTCAGTCACCCCCCAAAACACCTCCACCCTGCCTGCCGCCAGTAGCTGCCCCTCCAGCGTTCTCTGCAAGTGTCCCCAGGAAGCACCAGGCTGCAAAGAGCCACCCCTAAATCTGGAGTTTACGGAGCTGGGGTCTAGGACCACAGGCGGGGAATGCGGAGCCGCCTACCCACTCTCCACAACCCGCCCCCAACTCCTCCAAGCCCAATTAGGGCATCAGGGGTCCTCAGGACCCTCCCTGTTCTGCCCTGGCCTTAGTGGCCCCCAATTAGCCAGGCGACCCCCGGCATCACTGCACCCAAGAGGACAGCAAGCTTCCTCCCCTCCCCCCAGAGCCGCCGGAGGTCCCCTCCCCCCTGCCGAGCCTGGCACTCACCTGGCCACTCGCTCCTTGAGCTTGACCGGTACGTGTGCGTAGCGCGGCTCAGGGGCGAGGTCAGGCGGCTCCGCGCCCGGGAGGGTCTGCAGGGGCTGGGGCGCCCAGAGCGCAGGCGGCGCCCGGGGGCCCCGCTCGTCCCACACGCTGACGTACAGGAGCCGGAGCGAGGCGCAGGCGAACAGCAGGACCAGCACGCAGAGGGCCCGGCGGCCCGGCCGCATCCTGGGTGGCGAGGCGGGTGGGGGTGCGGCAGGTGCG